AAGCATTTTTGAGGAAGAAAGCCATTAAGCAACACCTCATCCCTTCTTGATAGTATTGGCTTTTCCTATACACTCAATGTGATCTTGGATCACTAAAATAGAAAATGTAGAGTCTGGTTCTTGGAGCTTGAGCCAATCCTTTGTCCTTAGCATCTTGAAGGGGTTCCACATCCTCTAGACCATGCCACTCCATTGTTGAACTTATCTGAAACATACTAGGTAAAAGTGTTAGTCCAACAAGAGATATGTTGACATTAATTACCAAAACCTCCTAGGGAGCACTTGTGCTTTCAGATCATAAGATTATTCATGCTAGAAACTTCCGTGTGCAGCCACAAGCCATTATGGGCTTTGGCATAGTTGAGTAAGTTGCGTGAGCTCTTGAAGAGGTGGACTAGCAGATGTAGGGGAAAGTAGGTGTATCGGTCTGCCTAGAGTAGAGAGTAAGTGCTTCAGAAAGACTATGTCTTGACCATCCGATCATGGATGTGGCCGAGTCTTGTGGGGAAAAGTGCGCAAACCTCTGCAGAGTGTATAAACTAATCATGGTTAGCCATGTCCCCGGTTATGGACATCTTGAGTATCTGGTACTTGAATTATTGATGTGATCTCATCACTTTACTTAATGAATTTATTGGGTTAATGATGATACTTTTAATTGGGATTTGAGTTGGGGTTACCTTCTCAAATATTGGGCAACTTAGGAGTAGTTGAATAAATTTATTCCTTTGTTGTAGGAAAAAACTAGCTTTATGCAAAATCATAGACTTACAGCCTCCACCAGCTAAATATTGCATGTAGATATAGTTCTTGCATTTCATTGCTTTACAGTGTAACTCTGCCAACATATTCAATATGCTGACCTACACGGCTGCAACGTCTCATGTTGCAGACTACTCAGACGATGAATAAGGTGCGATAGCTCGTTTGTTTTGCACTCAGCTATGCCATTGGAGTTGATGGACTCATTTACCTTTGAAGCTTCCGCAGTTATTTAATTTAGATGGCCTTCAACCATGATGTTTTTTGTGTAATCATACTCTTTATGAGGACTCGATGTAATAAGTGTGTGATTGAACTCTGTTATAATTCCTCAAGTACTGTGCATGTCAGCATTACCGATCCAGGGATGACACTGATGCATAGAGACTTCGGTCCATTCGGATCGTGGTCGCTACAATGCATCATCATGGTACTAGTTGCAAGAGACAATCAACATTGTACAATAATGTTTTATTATGTTCTCTATATGATGTCAGAGGTTGAAAATAAGTCACTCTTTACCATTGAACATGATCCAAATTCTATCATCATTCTTGTTAAAGTTTGCCATGTAAATAGGTTACAAAGTTGTGTGATGACGTGCCCCTGAAACATTACAAGATATGACATGAAAGACAACTCATCACACTAACAAAATTTTACTATCTCCTCTAGATGGCATAGGAAGCCTAAAACAAGTCAACCTTCTTTGCTATTGGAGATGACGTAAAATTTGTCGTAGTTGGTAAAGTATGCCATTTGTCGGTTATGGCACTACCTAATGATGTGACACGAGAAAAAGGCAAGGATGATACCAACGAAGACTCATTGCATGCTAAAGTTTTGTTGTCACATAAGAGAAACCATATAAGTCAACCTTATCTACTATCAAATATGGCCTAAAAATTGTCATTATCGTTGATAAAGTATAGTGTGTACATGTTATGATGTTACGTGATGGTCGCAAGACGACATTAATGACAACTCATTATACAATGTGTCCATTGCCTAACTGACATTACATGGTGGGGGAAGTCAAACATTATTAAAAACATCGTAAAGCTTGTCATGTGGTAACTTACATGATGATGCAACAAGTTTGTATGTTTCCAAACCAATAAGTCTACATAGGCTACGGTGTAGCGTGAGTGCCACCTGGGAGGAACTACCATGGTCAAGTCACATATTGATCGTGGATGCTTGCCGACCCGGTCAGTCCCAACGCTCACCGGGGGTTGTTCCCCTTATAGCCTCGGAGATGGCATGACTCTCCTCCATCGAAGGTGGTTCGAGGGATGGCCACTCTCCATCATGTGTGGCCCTTGTGTGTGATGTAGCATCGATGCTTTGCTCCAATGGTGTGGCCATACAGATGATGTGCCCAGTGCCGACAAGTGATTCCAGATTAGCAAATAATGGCGGTCGCTCATGGCATCATCCTCTTCCCTTTGGTAACAGGTGAAGGACCGGTAGGTGGAGGACAACTAATTCAGTCTGAACATAAGATGATTTTGGCCTAGTCAGTGCACGACCATGACGGGTACCAATGGTAGACTACGTCATCTATCTCCAAAGGGCATTGGGATGGAGCAACTATAAGAAGATCTACCATCAAGATTGTGACTGGAACATACTTCATCTCCATGATGAAAATCTGCAGCCTAGCATCCTTGACAAACTTTGCATTGTCTATTTGTTAAAGGCATTATCATTGTGTTTGTTTCCTGGCCTTGATTGGACCAATCATCCACGGTTAATTGTTCTGGCCTTCACAATCTAGACTCGACAATGCCCCGTGAGTATGTAGTCTTTCTTGAAAGGGTTTGCCTTGGTAAATTGGCAATTTTTTTGTAGACTGGTTGTATATATGATTGAATTTTCATTGTTGGCTCTTTCCATTTAGTCAGTAGATAGATGATATAATCATTCTTATCTATAGACAAACACAAATCGTTGCACATACACCAATGGACGGTGAAGGAACATGCAAAGTCACGTGGCAGGCAGCACGACAGCTCCCAGTGTGGTGCACCTAGGCGATCTCATCGGTTTTCAGTGTAGTCTAGCTTAAACAAATATGAACTTCTTAAAGGAAAAGGAAACCACCGAAACCAAAGTGAAACAGTTGCACTTATGTTGCACTACTATGTCATTGTTAAAAGGTAATATGTGGCAAGATTTTAAAATGGAGTAAAACTCGTTATCACAAATGTGAGAACTAGAGGCAATAAGTGAAACTTACTCTAATTAAGTCACGCATCGTCATTGTATTAGCTGCAAAATACAATCAACATACAACTCATTGCACAACAATGTTTTATTATCTTCTCTATATGATGTGGGAGGTTGAAAATAAGCCACTTTCCTTACCATTGAACACGAGCCACAATTTATCATCATTCTTGTTAAAGCCGCATGTAAATATGTTACAGTCACATGATGCCTGAAAAATTACAAGATATGACGCGAAGAGCAACTCATCGCACAAACAAAATTTTATTGTCTCCTCTAGACAACGTAGGAGACCTGAAAGAAGTCAACCTTCTCTGCTATTGGAGATGACCTAAAATTTGTCATCATTGGTAAAGTTTTCCATTTGTCGGTTATGACGCTACCTGATGATGCTACGTGGGAAAAATGCAAGGACGATACCAATGACAACTCAATGCACACTATCATGTAGGAGAAACCATATAAGCCAACCTTATCTACTATCAGATATGACATAAAATTTGTCATCATCGTTGATAAAAAGTCTAATGTGTATATGTTATGATGTCACATGATATTCGAAAGACGACATTAATGATAGCCCATTGTACAACATGTCTATTACCTAACTGAATTTAGGTGGTGGGAGAAGTCAAACCTTATTGGAAACGTCGTAAAGCTTGTCATGTAGTAATTTACATAATGATGTGGCAGATAATAAGGGGAACTAAGGACAAGCTTGTATGTTTTCAAACCAATAAGTTTACACGGGGCTACAGTGCTGCGTGAGCACGCCACGGTGGGAACTACCATGGTCAGGCCACAGACTGATCTTGTATGCTTGCCGACCCAGTCAGTCCTAACACCCACAAGGGGGGAGGGTTGTTCCCCTTGATGGCACATTGATGGCAGGGCTTTTCTCCATCGGAGGTGGTTCGAGCGATGGCTACCCTGCATCGTGTGTGGCCTTTATGTGGCGATGTAGCGACGCGCTTTGCTCCAATGGTGTGACAATATAGATGATGTGCCAGGTGCCTATCGGTGATTCCATATTAGCAAATAATGGTGGTCGCTCATGGCATCACCCTCTACCCTTTGCTAACAAGTGAAGGACCGGTAGGTGGACTGCTAATTTAGTCAGAACAAAAGATGATTTTGGCCTAGTCGGTGCACGGTCATGAAGGGTACCAAATACCAATGGTAGACTACGTCATCTATCTCCGGAGGCCACGGGGATGGAGTAGCTATAAGAAGATCTACCATCAAGATGTGGCCGGAGCGTAGCTGATCTCCATGATGAAAATCTGCAATCTGACATCCACGACAAACTTTGCATCGTCTATTTGTTTAAGGCATTATCTTTATGTTTATTTCCTGGCCTTGATGGGATCAGTCATCCACGATTAATTGTTCGGGTCTTCCAGTCTTGACTCGACGCCTACCTGCGAGTGTGTAGTCTTTTCTTGAAGGTGTTTGCCATGGAAGATCGATGATTTAGTTGTAGACATGGTTGATGTGCCATTGTTGGCTATTTCCATTTAGTCAGTAGATAGATGATATAATCATGCGTATCTAGGAGTATAGACTAACAATGTCTCAAAAGAAAAAGGAGTATAGACTAACACAAATCGTTGGGCATACACCAACGCACGGTGAAGGAACATGCAAAGTCACGCGGCAGGCAGGACGACAGCTCCCACAGTGGAGTACCCAGGCCAGGCGATCCCGTCAGTTTCCAGTCTAGTCTAGCTTCTTAAACAAACAGGACCTTCCTAAAGAAAAAAGAGTCTGCCGAAACCAAAGCGAAACCGGCGATACAATTTGCAGTTGCGTCGCACTGCGCATTTGCACCCCGTCGCCTTCCGTTCCCTCCCCCACCCGCGTGCGTGCGTGTCCCTCAATCATAGCAGCCAGCCGCGCCGCGGCCGTGTCCGTTTCCTCTCGCCCGCCCGCCGGCCCGCCGGCCCTTCTCCCCCCGCCCCGCCCTCCGCCGATGCGGCCCGCCCCCGAACCCTAGCCGGATCCCAATGGCGACCCCGCGCTCCGGGGCCGCGCCGCCTGTCACCGGCGACCGCTACCTCGACCTGCTCGTCCGCTTCGTGGCCAGCCACGCCGGCGAGCTGCTCGACGGCTCCTTCACCCTGCGCCTCCACCCCGTGGGCCTCCACTACGTCGCCTCCCGCCTCGAGGCGCTGCGCGAGCTGGAGGCCGTCGGCGCGGGGGCGCCCGTCGACTACCTCCGCGCCTACGTCGCCGACCTCGGGGACCACCGCGCGCTCGAGCAGCTCCGCCGGATCCTCCGCCTCCTCACGTCGCTCAAGGTCGTCGCCGCGGGGCCAGGGCGCGACCCGGCGCCGCTCTCGCTCCTGCCGTTCGCGCGGCTTCGCGTGCTCGAGCTGCGGGGCTGCGACCTCTCCACCTCCGCCGCCAGGGGGCTGCTCGACCTCCGACACACGCTCGAGAGGCTCGTCTGTCACAACTCCACGGTGCGATTCTGTCATGTTTCCCCGTAATTCTGGCCATACAGCTAACGCAATTTGTTGCTGGTGACAATTCAGCTAATTAAGACCCCCTACTAAACTATGAGTTTATGAGCTAAGCTGAGCTGTGAATCATGATTATCGTTCGCTGTTTGGTTCATCTACAGCTAGCAAAGGGGAGTTTAGTTTCAGCCCACTTGCTGCAGTAGTTTGGTATGGTTCATAGTTAATACTATGTTCCTAGGATCCAATCTGGTCCGCTGCATGCATCAATTATGTTCTATTTACTCAATAGGTTCCTGACAATATTTTTGGTGATCTGCTGTTCTCGTAGTGTTAAGATGCCTTTCTAGTGAAACTTCTATGTTTACTGACGTTTACAGTCTTTCTGGTGGGGTTTAATGGAATCTTGTTGGTTGTATTTTGGTTTCACTGAGTATTGCACTTGCAACTTCGGTGCAAATTTACCAATTTAGTCTGCGTCATTTGTTTTGCCTGTAGTAGACCAACTGTGGCATCTTGCAATGCTGCTGTAATGCAATTGTTGTCGCACATGATCAACATCACCATAGTGCTATTCTAATAGTTATGTCTTTCGCACATGCTGCATTTATCCCCTGATATAATTAGTCAATCCGTGAGATTAAAAAGATGCCCAGCCATGTGGATTCCTGATAGATTGTCATGTCTCTACTTGTATGCAGCTGGAAATGTTGCTTTATGCACCTCATGTACTTTGTTTTCCAAATTCCGACGGAAACTCTTATGGAAATTATCGCTCCCTCTGAGCTAGAACCTTAGATGTTTGGTGGATTGACAGTGATATCTGGAACTAATAAAGATTTAATGTGGCACCTGCTATTCTTTTTTAAACACAGTTCTTTTGTTGGCCCATGGACTACGTAATTATAAGTACACCAGATTTACCTTACTCCCATGTGCTTGCATTGCCAATCATGACATGTCATCCGGCATCTGTTATTCTGTTTTAAATATTGTTCTTTGTTGGCCGATGGACGGCAGAATTATTATTGAGGGTAGTAGCTGGAGAACTTCGGTATTGGTTCCTGATGTGATGGCCTCAGGTTGATCGGGTGTGCTACATCTTCTCTCTATTTGTATCTTGGCATGCAACCAAAAGCTCAGCTAGCAGCAAAAAGTGATGCATATATCTTTGTATTCATTGAGCGGTTGTTGCAATTTATGCTTCTTTTCCAAGCATTTGTACGAAATATTGCGACGTTACCAGATTCATAACAGTTAATTTTTGTGCTACTGCAGGATGCTCTTAGGCATATATTTGTGAGTAGAGTGATGGATATCAAGGACTCTCCTGTATGGATTCGGCTTTCGTACGTCTCTTGTGCTTCTAATGATCTCGTACTCATGGACGAGTCATTGCAATTGTTACCTGCGGTTGAAACCCTTGATCTTAGTCGGAACCGATTTGCAAAGGTGGATAATCTGCGCAAATGTACAAAGTTGCGAAATCTGGACCTTGGATTTAATCATTTGCGCTCTATATCATCCTTGAGTGAGGTTTAACTTCCTTCATAGTTCAGTTTAAAATAGTAAACAAGCTTCTTGGCTTTACTTTTGTTGTCTGATTACATGTTACCTTTGTGCAGGTTTTCAGTCGGATTGGTAAACTAGTACTTAGAAACAATGCTTTAACTACTATACATGGGATTGAAAACCTCACGTCGCTTGTGGGCCTTGATCTGTCTTACAACATCATATCAAATTTCTCAGAGTTGGAAATTCTTGGCAGCTTCTCTTTGCTACAGAACGTATGGTTGGAAGGCAATCCAATCTGCTGTGCTCGTTGGTATCGAGCACGTGTTTTTAGTTTTTTCCATAATTCAGAAAATGTAAGTGCTTTAGCTCAAGCATGTTAAACTATTTTGGTTGTCCATAGTCTTGTTTATAATAAGTCTCTTCCACAGTATTGAAGTAACATGAATACTCTGTTCCATGATTTTTCTGCCTCAGTTAAAGTTAGATGATAAAGGTATGAACACACAAGAATACTGGGAAAAGCAAGTATTGTTTGGAAGCAGACAAAAACAACCTGCTGGCTATGGATTTTATTTTCCTGCAAAAGATGATCATGAGGATGAATACACTTCAAATTCTATGATGGTATGCATCTCTTTTACTGACTTCTAATAGTCTAATCTATTATATATCAGCATGTCACACCAATTATAAGCTTCCTCAGTTAACACTTTTGATTTTATTATTCCCTGGAGGATAGATAAGTCAATGCATGTTGCTTAGTGAATTGGTAAGGCTTCATTTTCCCCTTGGATATACATTATTTCCGTATGTTGTCAGGATTCCTTTTTTTGCTTGGTTCAGCATAGGTGCTGCCATATATGACATCTTAGTTTCTATAAATGCACTATAAAACCATCAATATATCTTAGCAGAACTGAAATAATTTTACAGAAGTTTGGCATCCTGCATTTGTATCCTGAACACGACTAAATGTGAGCGCGTATGACTATTTTAATGACATTCTGCTTTCCACTTATATTAGAAAAAGATTTCCCGACTTGCCTGTATTCTGGAGGAAGAGAGAAGTCCTTGTGATGAAGGTGTGGACCAGCAGTCCAGCCCCCGTGATAGTGCTAGTTCAAAGAAGGATGAAGTTGCCGTTGCTGATAATGACATAAAAATTACTTCTTTGATAAGTACAGCAGAGTTGATGAAGAAGGAAAGATCGACTGACTGGCTGCGTGAATTTAAGGAGTGGATGGATGAAAATACAGAGAACACAGATGGTGACAGCCTTTATGTTGATTTCACTAACAGAAATGGAAGTCAGGAAAAACAAAACAGAAGAGAAAAATTGAACATAGAGAGCTCCAAGAGTGTCACAGACCTGGCAAAAACATCAGAAGGTGGAAGCAGCTCAAACCTTGTGGAGTCTAAATTGTCTTTCACAGATGATGCATGCAACGTCGCTAATGGCTTCACTGCAGGATCCTTGAACGAAGTGAATGCTGACCAAACTCATGTAAGGGTACACTTGAATTCTGCCGTACAGCTTCCTCCACTAGAATTTGTGGGCACTTCACATCCAGATTCTTTATCTGATGTGGGAGGTGGTGCAAATTTTTTGCATACGAACGGAACACCATCTAATGCAACAAGCAAGTTGATAGAACCAAGTCCATCCTTTGCATACCCTAGTCCACAGTCACCTCCACAATACAAGGAAGACATCCTACGTCGAAGACTTTTTATGGAGGAAGAATTTTTGCAGAGTTCAGGAGATTTCCAATGTGTTGGTTCTCTTGGTAGTGGTAGCAGCTGCAGTGATGACTCTTCAGGTGATTTATGTTCGTGCAATTCAGAAGATGATTGCGTAGCAATTCAGACAAAAAGGGAACTAGCCCTGAATGGTCAGATTGCTTCATTTCCTTATGCAGATATTGATCATGAGGAAATGGATGGGATGGAGCTTTTCTCACAAGAGGAAAAATTGTCTGACTGTTCGGCAGAAGATGACCCAACTTTTACAGATGCCATAGAGTTTGGTATTAAGGAGCCAGATGACAGTAACCAGAGGAATGGACATCTAGGTCAAGATTCAGGTGGCCATCTGATTAGACAAAATGACAAGCAAAAGGTTAAGAGGAAGATATTCCCTATTTTTAAGGACCGTAATGGCACTAAACTAGAATTTACAGAGGCTAATGGAGATAAGTTGGAAGAGGGGGGTTCAGTGGGTGCAAATGGTCACCTGAGCTACGACCTAACTGGAAGTACTATTTGCAAGGATCAAAGCTCAAAAAAACACTATTCAAGTATCTTGCACAAGAATAACTTGTCGATTGATGCCGATACAGTTACTTGCAACACTGATAGGGATAAGTACAAGCTTATAGAGGATTTCTTCAATTTGGAAGTTGCTAATGTTGAAGAGTCCGAAATATGTGAACAAGGAGCTCGTTGTGGATACATATTTCAAGATGGAAGCGATTTAATTCAAAGGTTAGAGTTGTTTTACCTATATTTGACATGTGTAGAGAGTAGAGACTAGAAACTGATGATGAACGGCTGTTGAATCTGAATGAAAGAGTCGCTGACCATCGAAGTACATTTTGTAGAACCAAAGATTATCAGTACAAGTACGGATTACTTCTTTTTCTGTAAGTTCGCAAATTAAGGACTAGCTGCTGCATATCAGACTAACATGGTTACTTATTTGCCTCTGCTGTTATAGTTTGTTTTTCAAACTAAACACCATGCAGCACAACAAAACATGTACTGACGGTTAAAATTAGCAGAATAGAACTGCCTTAACCTGTTAATCAGGTAATTGCTGACCATTAGTGCTTTGGAGGAGCGAATGCAATTATATTCAAAATCATAACTATTATCTATTACATTTTTTTATTCATGAGCTTGCTTAGAGAAAACTGAAGCTGGCGATGAATGTATTCAAAGTATATCAAAACACCATGGTCATGCAACACATGACAGGGCTGTATGTGTTGGGTCTACTTAATTTCGTTACTTTAATCAAGTAACAATTTGACATGTCAGACACCCACCTGAGACGGCGCAGGAGTCCATGGTTTGTACCCGTAGGCGAATGATGAAAGACTCTTGGGGCCTTGTGCAGTATGGGGGTCTACAAACCAACTTTTTTTAGGCCAAACTTCTAATGAAATTGAATCCAAGATATGGGGACCTGAATCCTTGGCTCCACCACCATCTTCACCGATGTTGATGGCATTTGCATAGAACATAAAATGCGTAAATGTCCAGTAATATATCTCATGATTCAGACTTCAAAGTACTTAAATGCACAATAAGTAGTTATCAATAACAGCTCTTTGAACATGACATTTAGTTGGATTTTTTAATTCTAAGTACTTTCTTGTATACTCCCTCTGTCCCAAAATATAAGAACGTTTTTAACACTACACTAGTGTCAAAAACGTTCTTATATTATGGGACGGAGGGAGTACCATTTAATCCTCAACCATGCCCAGTAAATGCTCTCTTAACTTCTGTTGAACTTAACAGCAGTTCTGAAAGCCTGTCTGCATGCGATATTCTTTTTAGTTACTGTACCTGACTAGTGTATTGTTACTTATTGTAGAGAAGTAGCCTTGTTGAGAAGTTCTCAGAATAAATTGTATGTTCTGCTAGTTGATATGGAGCAAGATGAACAAGGTTAGTTTTCTACACATTGTTTTCTTTTCTTCCAAAGCCTTTCTCTAGGTTCTCTTCTGTCTCTGTTAGACAATTATAAGACTATTGCAACTGGAATTTTACATTTTTATTGTTGTATGGAAATTTATTTTCTCATGTTCCTATTCTAAAACTGTATTAATAATTCTTTACACACTGACTAATTTACAGAAATTATGCCAAGAGTTTTGGGGTGCTATAGGCTTGAAGATCTGGAAAAAGTTTTGACTGGGCTGGGTCTACAAGCACTAAGGTCTATTAGCATATCAATCATAAGTGGTGGTTTTTTGGCTTATCTGAGGCTTACTTTTGTTTTCTCATATCGCAGGGTACACATGGCAGATCATACAGCTCATCTATTCTTGACACGTACTTCCAAGGAAGCACAAGATGTACTTTGGCTCTTGAATCTGTTCAGCTTTCCACAGTTAACTAGCGGGGTATCTTTGCAAAGGTTTGTCTATTTAGCTTTATGTTTTCTCCGTGAGCAAAGGCCTTCTCTTTTAGATAAACAAGAAAAGGATTTTGTCTGTGTTTATTGTGCCTTCTATTTCATTTCTGATTACACTTTCTCCTGTAATTTAAATGGCAGTTGGGAGAAGATTCAAGTTAAATTGCTTGAGAAATGTATATGTGCAAGTTTGAAGATGGGGATATTTCTCTACTCCATGTTGATGTTTTGGAAGAATGATGCTGAAGGTACTGTTATTTGAGTGGTGAAATATTACCCCTATTTGTCTATGGGATCTAGACTAGAACTTTCTTCACTTTTTGAATTCTTATGATCTTACCTGCTTGGGTGAGTCTTGGCTTTCTCCCTTGAAGCCTGACAAAGTAGAGTAGGATTGATACACATCTTATCCTTGTGAAAGAAAACATATAGTTTTTTATCATCTGTATTATGGTAAGTCGAGTAACACTATTTAAGCCATTTTGTTTCTAAATGAATATTGTTTATGCTTACTGTCCAGAATCTCGTTTGGACATATGATAACTAAAGCAATGAGCCCACAAGCTTTATCTTGGGCAATCATTGTGATATTTTGTCCAGAATACACACAATTTCTTGCTCAGTATCAAAGATTCCACATCGAAGTGTTAAACTTGGTACAGTGCACTCAGTCCTATGGTGAGAGAGCTGGGGATTAATTGATCAAGGACTCAAACCCATCATGACACAACATGCTGCCAGTGAGCTGAGTCGTCATGATGATTACTTGGACTTTGGCATATGCATATGTTATGTTAGTTTGCAAGGTAGATAACTACATAGTATGTCTGCTGGGTGGTCATGTAATTTGATCTAAGAAATCTAACGCTACCTTGTTTAATTCTTCATGATTAGATGTTTGCAAGGTAATTTCAATTTTCCATCCCCAATTCTTTACATGCATATTAGATGTTTACCCATTTTTTCAATTTCAGCACCCAGGTGCATACATTCCTTCTGGCTTTAATTGGGTCCATTTTGTGAAATCCCGTAAACAATTTGATAGTGGCATGCATCATCACCAAATATTGATGATGCCGCATCTGGCATGACATGGCATATGTTGGCATGCCATGAGCCTCGTCCATCTATCGCTGATGATCTATTATTTTATTTGCATCTGCCGCTTATGTAATAATTCAGTTACTAAACCCGAAGGGATTAGAACTGGAGAACACGAATATTACCTCTGTATTGTACATTTTTTTAGTTATTTTACTTAGAAATTGCTGAATTATGTCCATTTCTGTTTTGCAGAGGAATCCCTGGTTATTAGATCCCTTGTTGTTACCGAAGGATCAATATGTGTGTGCATTGAGAACCTACATCAGTTTGGTTGCTTTCCTGATGATTCACATCCTCCATATTTTTCTCTCGATGAATGCTGCTCTATCAACAGTATTAAGGAAGTGGTAAGTTGTGTTTGATTTCTAAGATTTCCAATCTATCTTGGTTACTTTGCATTGCAGCGATATTCTTTCCATAAAATAGTTTGCTCTGATAGTTCCCTTGCCCAAAAAGGGGATATCTGTTTTATTCTTGTCTACTGTGGAATATGCATAAGTGTGGCTCTGTGTATTCTCGCACACAGGTTTGACCCTTGTCTCTAAACTTGTATTTTTATTGTACGGAGTACTTATCATCGACCTTACTCCGTATTTCTGAAGGGAATCCCCTCTTATTTTACCGAGTTGTGATGTAATACGAGCTAAATATATTGCTTCATTATAATAAAAGGGTTGATGCCATTTTGTTGACATTTCTAAATTTTCCTACTGCATTTCCTATACTTAGGTTGTGGATCAGCGTGACAAGGAATGCTTGACATTAATTTTGCACAAACACATAAACGAAGGAAAATTTCACAGCAGCACTGGAAATTCGCAGAACAAGCAAGCAGATGAAAATTACACAGTACATACATGGAAACTGAAGTGGTTTTCTGAAGAAACTCTTTTGAAGTTCATTTCTGTACTTAGGGCTCTTTACTCTGGAGCAGTTTCTTCGCCGTTACCTGTAAAGTGTATATCCTGATGTGTTAGTTCTTGTAGTCATGTAGTGATTTCATTCATTTGTTTGGGGGTTGTATTTAGCTGTTAATCTGTACAGTTTGTCCATTAGCTCTCTAGGTTGTGCTTCCTTTATTCTTTTGATTTATCAAATAGTTACTCATCTTAAAGCTGTACAGAACAGAGGTAAACTGAGTGAATGAGTGTAAATGCAATTTTGGCAATAAGCTGTTTCGAACAATTTGTTCCGCGTCATGGGTGGTAAAGTACTGTAGTTTATTGGATTGCTCAGCCAAACTTGCTAATAACACACTACTGAGGAATGGTTATTCGGGATCTACAAGAGATGCTCTAATGATATCTAGTTGTGACCCTACCGGTAATATTTCTGCTACCTCCGATCCATAATAAGTGTCCAACTGTGAACTTATTTTGGATCGGAGAGGGTACTTGGCAACTTTTTTCACTCCCTGCCACGCAATGGTACCTCCTTTTTTTTTGAATGTGTATGTAAACAAAACCTATAATTCTAGTGAAGTTTGACCATGCTAGCTCATCAATAATTGTGTACATGGCTATTTGAATAATTTACACTATAGAGGTTGCCATGGTAGAGCGACACGGGGACGTTTTTGTGTTAGAGCAACTCTAGCGGACCCTGCATCCCGCTGACCCGCAAAACTTGTTTGCAGTTCGCCAAAACCATTTTTGTGGGCCGGCGCGGGGTGACACAGATGCAGACCTCGCATAATGGACCCGAAAAAAAAAATCATATTTGTGGAATATACCTTTTTACGGGTCGGCGGGTTTTGATCTGGCGCAGCTCGTCCCGGCCCCTAAAACTTAGATTGATCTAGCATAATGCTCGTCCGGGCAGTCGTCACACTGTATGAACGGCATCGGCAGGCCACAAAGACGCTGCGCGAGCGCCGAGCCCGGTGGACGGCTGGACGAGTCCATGCCCGTAAACCTTCGGCGACGGCGGGCGGACGAACCCGCGCCTGCATGCGGCGATGCGCCCTTGCCTGGGCTGCGGGAGAGGCTCCCCGACCACTCCATCGTCTGGGGCAGCTGAAAGATCGTGGATGTCGCCTAGAAGGGGGGGGGTGAATAGGCGTTTTAAAATAATTACGGTAGAGGCTTGAACAAATGCGGAATAAACCAAACGGTTAATTTGTCAAGCACAAAACCTACAACAACTAGGCTCATCTATGTGCACCAACAACTTATGCTAAGCAAGATAAGCAACTATGTGATAGCAAGATATATGACAAAGAACAATATGGCTATCACAAAGTAAAGTGCATAAGTAAAGGGATCGGGTCAGAGATAACCGAGGCACTCGGAGACGACGATGTATCCCGAAGTTCACACCCTTGCGGATGCTAATCTCCGTTTGGAGCGGTGTGGAGGCACAACGCTCCCCAAGAAGCCACTAGGGCCACCGTAATCTCCTCACGCCCTCGCACAATGCAAGATGCCGTGATTCCACTAAGGGACCCTTGAGGGCGGTCACCGAACCCGTACAAATGGTGACCCTTGGGGGCGATCACCGAACCCGTACACTTTGGCAACCCTTGGGGGCGGTCACCGGTACCCGTCAAATTGCTCGGGGCGATCTCCACAACCTAATTGGAGACCCCGATGCTTGCCCGGAGCTTTACACCACAATGATTGAGCTCCGAACACCACCAACCGTCTAGGGCGCCCAAGCACCCAAGAGGAACAAGCTCAAGGGTACGAAGCACCCAAGAGTAATAAGCTGCTCAACTTGAAACTTCCACGTATCACCATGAAGAACTCAAACCGATGCACAAATGCAATGGCAAGGGCACACGGAGTGCCCAAGTCCTTCTCTCTCAAATCCCACCAAAGCAACTAATGCTAGGGAGGAAAGTGAGAGGAATAACAAGAAGAACACAAAGAACTCCAAGATCTAGATCCAAGGGGTTCCCCTCACATAGAGGAAAAAGTGATTGGTGGAAGTGTGGATCTAGATCTCCTCTCTCTTTTCCCTCAAAAACTAGCAAGAATCCATGGAGGGATTGAAAGTTAGCAAGCTCAAAGAAGGTCAACAATGGGGGCAAAAACGAGCTTAAGAGATGGGGAACCATTGGGGAAGAAGACCCCCTTAAATAGGTCCCCACGAATCTGCCCGTTATGTGCAGAAAGACATAGGAGCGGTACAACCGCTATGAGCACCGGTACAACCGGTAACAGGCAATAAGCGGAACAACCGGCCCACAACCGCCCAACAACCGCACCACAACAGAAGCTAGTCCGGTGGTAGAGCGGTACATGGCCGGTACAACCTCCGGACCAATTCTGGAGCGGTACAACCGCTCCAAACACCGGTTGTACATGTCAACCGGTACAACCTCTCTATGGGGCGGTACAACCTCTCTATGTAAAACAGGCAATATCAAAACAGCCACAACTTTCGCATACGAGCTCCGAATTCGTTGAAATCAAGTTTGTTGGAAAGCTAGCAACAAGGGCTAACACAATCTTGAAAGAAATATCAATAAGAAGCAAATTAGAAAAGGCCCATAATAAAAAGGTGAGAACCCTTCCTCGGATAATACCGGTAAAACCTCCAACACCGAAAACATCATAGAAGACCCATGCGAACTCCGTTTTCGATGAACTCAAACTTGTCATCAAGATGACCATAAGCTCTAAGACTCACAAAGAGAACCAAACAAGAACCAAGAAACATGATGCAAGGATGCAATGGTTTGAGATCTCTACTAACGATACGATCAAGCTACCAACTTGAGAGCCCCCCTTGATAGTACAGCAAACGATCCTATAACCCGGTCTCCCAACTACCACCACGAGACCGGTAAAAGAGAAAACCTATCAAGGGCAAACCTTTGCCTTGCACATGGTCCACTTGAGCTAGATGATGACGATCTTCACTCCCTCAAGTTGGACCACCTTTCTTGATTGCGTTGGCTCGATGAAGACTAGATGATTGCTCCGCCATAGTCCACTATGGGTGAGCCTCTCTTTGGCACATCTTCACAAGACCATTGACACCATAAAGGATGGCAAGATTCAAGTACTTGATCTCTTCGTGATGCTCCACTTGAACTTGCACACGGCAATCATGATGACGATCACCACTTGATGTCATCCTTTCCATGGGTTGTATGATATCTTCCTCTTGACGCAAGCCCATGGACACGTACCTAACCCCACAAAGAACTCTCACATAGACCATGGGTTAGTACACAAAGTGCAATGGACAATGCTCACCATACCATGGGATCACTTGACCCCTCTCGGTACATCTTCTACGCTTTGAGAGTTGATCAACTTGTTCACTCTTGACTTAGTCTTGATCAACCTTGAATCTTTCCAACTCCCTTCATTTGGATGATGTCTTGAAGGTAAACATGAATAGTCACACAATCTTCTTCTTCAAGACATGCTTGCAATAAGCTCAACACTCACATGACCAATCTTTGGATAATTCCTTAATAGCACCTTGGTCAACTCATAAACTCCTTGAAACCAACACATGGACTTCAAGAAAAGCCTATGACAAAACCTTCAAATATAACTCAAGGCAACCATTAGTCCATGGAGATTGTCATCAATTACCAAAACCAAACATGGGGGCATCGCATGTTCTTTCAATCTCCCCCATTTTGGTAATTGATGACAATCACTTTCAAGAGAGTTTATATAAGGAATTATGCATCACCATGCAATGCAACAACCAATAGTGCAGCGAATGAGATGCAGATGCTAAGGAACAAAACCAAAGCAAGAGGAGACAACTCTCTAAACTTCTCCAGAAAACTCTCTGAAACTTCTCCCCCATTGGCATCGATTGCCAAAATGGGCTAAAAGCTTAAAAGGCCAATATAAAATGTGTTCCTCCATAAATTGTGTATTTATCAACAAGAGAGTGGAATGCAATACACATATCCAACGATAAATACTTGGATGAAGACAAACTATATTTAGGCCCAAAGATTGCAAAAGGAAGATATGCCACAAAGACATAATCAAAGAGAGAAACAAGCAATCAAGCAACCAAAAGACACCAATTGAAGCAAGCTATCAAAAGATACCAATTGAACCAACTAGGCCAATGATCCTAGGAGCCACATGAATAAAGGATATTATGATAAGAGCGGAGCAGTGTTCTAAAGAAACTAGAGAAGCTCCCCATGATTTGTGCACATCAAGAATTTTTGTATTTGGATACAAAGTGCACAAAATAGGATCATAGCTCCCCCAAGATCAATAGAACCTCATGACAAGTGCAAGAGAGCAACAGAGTGTTCTAAAGACACTAGTGAAGCTCCCCATGATCTGTGCACTCCTTAGAATATTTGCATTAGGATACCAAGTGCACAAAATAGGATCACCACTCCCCGAAAATCAATAGAAACTCACAACAAGTGCAAGTGAGCATGTAGGAAACAAAGTCTTGCAACAAACAAATGGTTGAGCAACATATAAAAGAGGAAACTTAAGAGTAGGCTCAACCAAAATGATGTGTGTGAGTCATGGCAAAGCACTTGAGAAGACTAATGTAAGGGTGAGCATTAAGCATCAACATAGTCTTGAAAAGTGGAGATACAAGGTGCATGACATGTCCTTCCCACACACACACCAGGAAAAAGTGATCACAAGCACACTAAATATGCAAAAAGAATAACCAACACTTGTGACAACCCATTGTGAAGATAGAAAGTGAAAGCCTCATCAAGACGAGGGATACCAATTAAAAAACCTCATCAAGACAAGCATGAAGAAAATGATCTTCACCACACAAGAGTGCAACAAGATGCAACGAGATAAGACCCGCACTCAAGGCACACACTTTCATGGAGCCACCAAAGAAATAACATGAGAAAGAAACGATGGACGTGAAAGAAAGGGATATCAACTAGAGATGTACCTTCTCTCAAGTGTATAAGATTCTAGGTAGATGAAAAACATGATGATATCAATCCACAAAGAAGGATATACACATGAAATAGTTATAAAAAGGAAAGAACAAGA